AAGAATAGAAGAAGGCATTAAATCCTTCATCATTACGTCGTTTTGCTCTTAGAATACGCCCTGTGTAATGTCATTTGATTATTATTACTTATACACTAATAGATCGTAAAAACTAACATCAATTATTACCTAATCGTTGTGCTTCTTGACGCCTAGATCCATAGTGCGATGAAATCTGAATTAAACACGTTGCCTCGGGCAAGTCAATAGAAGTATCACCAACCTAATAGTTCATTAGTTATTTATATCGTAAATTTTTATGTATCGAAATTAGTAGAAATTTATTCCTATTCTACCTTTGATAAAAAAATTGTATTGGTTGCGGAATCATGTTGAAATTTTGAAAGAATATACATTCGCTCTGGAGGTTTCGTTTTCCCATGAATGAATGGTTTACCAAATAATCTAGCATATTTCTAAAAAAAAGTAGAAAAATAAATAAATCGGTCCAAGCTTTGTTTAAAGATTTATCAAAAGATAAAACTTATTAAATTTACCTCTAAAGCATACACATTATCTGAAAACACAATAACCTTATCACCTCTTTCTTCGTGATACTGAATTAAGAATTGACAAGCTTGGAGTTTATTTGGATTCATTGCATATAATAACATGCGTTTTCTTGAAGTTGCTTTAAGGTATTCGGCGTAGAATTCTGGTGTCATATCACACCAAACTTCAGCACATTGAACATTAGCTATGTGTCCTTTAGATGCTAAATCCATCCAGTTGGCTTCATATAATTTGGGACCAATCAGAAAGTTCAAATCCTGAATTTTATCATCTTCACGTACTAAAGTTGCGGTTAGACCAAGCTTTGTATGAGCTGCAATTGTGGTTACAACTCTACGAAACATGTTAGCAGGCACAACATGGACCTCATCTAACAATATAAAGCCCCACTCGCGTCCAGTTATAAAATCCATCATTTTTGACGCTTCATAAGACCTTGATCGCGTATTAGCTACCATACTGTATGTAGAAATCACGATACCAGATTGCCCTACAAACTTTGTTAATCACAATACATTAAGTTTAATGAGAAAATTTTCATACAAAGTACAAATTCTAACATTTAGATTCCTACTTTCTCTTTTTGATCTGAAGTAAAAACAGAAATTTGACTTTCTTTAATATTTGACCATTGCATAAATTGTTGTTTCCATTGCATTACTGAAACCCTGTAAAAAACAAAATTAATAATAATTGAATAAATACATCATCAAATAGAACAGTAAATAAATATTTATATGTGAATACTAACGCCGAGGTGCAGAGAACGAGGCAGCTCTTTTTAATAGTGCATGCGGCTGTTATACCTACAAGGGTTTTACCAGCACCACATGGTAAGACGATGATACCTGATCTTGCACGTCTAAAAGTATTCAAAGAAATTAATATTAAAGTAATATATTCTGTTAGAAAGTTTCTAAAATAACATTTTCTATGTTATAAATGACAGATTCCTCGTTTAACTCGAAATTTCCCGAATAAACTTATATTGTGGATCAATTTACCAAAACGATAATACGAACTTACCCATTTCCAAACATTTTACTCAAACATTTTTCTTGATATGGACGAATGACTGTTATAGGCTTCAGATCAATTTCAAGCGGAGCAAGAGTTGCATCATTTCGGAAATCATATTCTTCCAACATTGGATAATTAAGTTCATTACATCTCTTTTTCACATTCTGTAAGTATGATAAGGTATTTTAATTTTATCATTTAAGAAAATAAAATAATTGCAAAACAATTTACCTCAAATTTTTGAGATCGAATTTCAAATGAATGAACTTCGTCTTCCTCATCTTCTTCATCCTCTGGAAGAATATGAGATCAATGATACACGTAAGGATTGTTACACTAAATTAATATAAAACATGATAATATTTTACCTTTATCAATAGCAACTACAGTGTTAAATAATAATTCTTCATCCTGAGTATTATTTTCTTTGGCTTTATTATCTGCGTCCGCGGTAACTTCACTCTTACCCAGAATTGCCAAATCTTTACCAGTTGGCGCTTTATTAGTTATAAAAGAATCTTGAACTGTTCCATCAACATCTATTCTAGCCTCTGCAATCTCACGATCTCGTAGAAGCATTTGTAAAACTTCGGGATGTGATGATTCCACAAAGTAGCGATTTTGCTTCAGCAGAAGCTTTACTTTACCATATGAAATTGTACATTCACGTATCATTTCAACGACAGATTCGGGAATATCAGTCTATAGATAGTTACTCTTAGTAAACTGAATTTTTCCCAAGAAATAATAAAACAGAAGAATTCAGCATAAACATGCCTTTGAAAGAATCCTGAGAACGTCAATTATTGCTTCTGTTTCTAAACCCACGGAAACAGCAGCATAAAGTGAATATGGCGTCATTTTGTATTCATGTATAAGTGAAGGTCTATAAAATTTCGTTGTACATATGTATATTAATCAAAATATATTTACTTTAGCTATTCAAACATAACTCTACTTACCTACTAACTGGTTCACTAATTGTTATTAAAAAATCTTGTGCCTTTTCAGCAAAAGGCGAGAACGCTTCCAATATTATATGCCCATTACCAGGATTTATCCAGAGAGGCCGACTAGAATGATGATTCTTTAATTTTATTGAGGAATAATCAATGATACCGTTTTGAGACACTTTATACGGTGGTTTAGTTATATTTAGGACAGCGTTCTTTGGAACTATGTTTTTTTTTTTTTTTTTTTTTTTCTGTTAAATATATTTTTCATAGATCACGCTGAAGACTAAAGGTTTTTTAGACTTACTTAAACCTTGAAAACCGCTTGAAGTATCATCATCGGATAAATTTTCTGTAACAGGTAGTTTTACCTTTCTTGTTTTGGATTTTGGAAGACTAGGTCTATACTCTTCTTCTATTATATGAAAGCATTGAAATGTTAAACTAAAAAATATGTAAAATACTTATAAAACCATATACGCACCATCAAACTTTCTTTTCATTTGTGGCATTTTGTAAAATGGTATTGTTTTTTGTATTAAATTTAGTAAATAAAATTTGAAGTATTTTTAAAGGTATCTATTACCTGCGGAGTTAGGGTTACACGTAGTTACTTTTTTGATGCATTTCTGTTATAAATATCAAGGAATACACTTATGCAGTATGAGATCATATTTTGAATTACCTCCGGTCATGATACTTTTACTCGGAATTAACTTTGCGTCTTCATTTAAGCGATATAAATCATCATCTAATATCTTACTCAAATCAAATCCTTTATGAAAAACTATTCAGTATTATGGTGCTTGTAGCAGCAAAAATATCTATGGATGTTTTATAGAATAGGTAGGCAATATATGAAATAAGTTTCGCTAATGATTAATAATCATTAATTTTTTAATATATTCAGCGGAGTTTAGCGGAGTTTGCTTATCGTTATCTATTCTATAGAATATCAATATTTATTACTAAAAAGCAGGGATGGACCAGTCATTGGGTCATTTCACATTCAAATGACCCATAGAAGGTCATTTAACATTTGTTAACTAATAATCCAATCTCTTTTAACCAATCAGAATTAATTATTAGACAAAAGGCAATTTTTATAATTACGATCGATAATAGTAGGTACATATAAAAGTCAAAATTTTATTAAATTAATCGATATTTGCATATTAAGCAATGTTGTTCAGGAGAATAAATTACATCTATCTTGAAATTTTAATGTAATTTTTCTTAAGTTGTTTTTGCGTTTTATGTTTATATAAAAAAATTTTAAATTTTTTCATATAAATATAAAATATAAAAATGACTTATTAAAATTACATGAAAATTTCAAGATAGATGTAATTTGTTTTCCTGAACAACTTTACTTAATATGTAAATATCGATTAATTTAGTAAAATTTTGATTTTTATATGTATCTACGACTATTAATTAGTAAAATCAATATTTTTTTTTATATTAGCTATTTAACCAATAAAGTTATTTCAAATGCAAATGATTCAAATAACCTAATGATCCAAATGACTAGGTCATTTACTCAAATGACTAGGTCATTTAAATTTTGAATAAATAATCAAGTCATTTACCATCTTTGCTAAAAAGTAATAGAAATTATTTAATTTTAAATATTAAATTTTAGTTGAAATTATTTAATATAATTTGAATATATTATATAATTAAAAAATAAATGTACTTGTAATATCTTGTTATACAGTTTAAATGTAATAATTTTTTTTAATTTTTTTTAATAAAAAATTATATTAAAAATAGTATATTTTATTTATTATATAAATAGAAAAAGACTAAGTAGTATACTATGTATTTTGTACTTCTTTCATAATAACTTAAAATTTTATTAAAGTAATCTCTATTATATAACTAAGTAAAAATATTTTTATTATAATTTTATTATACTTTAGCTCTAACTCTAACTTGTAAACTAACTCTAATATAATTTTTTAAATTTTTTAAATATTTTAAAATTTTACTAGAGTAACTAACTCCTAATATATAACTAAGAAAAAATATTTCTCTCACAATTTTACTATATATTTAATTTTAATTCTAATTTAAACTAATTTAATTTCTATTATATACTTAATTTTACTATAAAGTATACAAAGTATAAGAATACATTATTTAAATTTTTCTTATAAATATATATATAAATTTAATTTTAAAAACTTTTTTTTAAAAGTCTAGTAATCTAGTATAGTAGTTAGATTACTAGACTGCTATACAATAGGTTTGGAGTTTAAATCTAATTGTTAATAAATTTGAATAATTTTTCAAACCTTGTAATATATTATAGTAAATCTTGTTCATTTCTGAAATTATATTTCTGTAAATTAAATTATACTAAATTAATCTGAACTTAAAAGAATAATAAAATATTATATAAATAAATCTTAATAGAATATATAAGCAAAAGATCTATATAGTAGAAATTCTAAGTTAGTAAAATAATACAGTCTTTTAACAAAATTACATTAGTTAAAGTTTGATCTAAAAAGAAAATCTAATTTAATAAAGATAGAAAGTTTTAAAGTTTCTAGATGAAAGATAATTAGAACTAGCTAAATATTAGAAAAAAATAAGATAACTAACTAGTAAAAGATTATAATAGAATCTAGGATTATATAAATTTCTATAAAGGTTTAATTTAAATAAATCTATAAAATGAATATAGACTATTTTAGTAGATTTGCTTTGAGATTAACTAGCTCTGCAATACTAACAATTTGTTAGATATAATATATTTTAAGAGAATCTAAGCTATTCTAAATAAATAGATCTGTAATGAGTTAACTAGCTTAAGTAGTTAGATATTATAATAATATTAGATTAGATCTGTATAAGTTAATAAACAGAGTATTTAAATAGGTAACTTACAGATAAGTTATAAGTATAGATAGTATAGAACTAATTAAGTAGTCTAATACTTATATAGCTGACTACTTTTTTTTTTTTTTTTTTTTTATAAATAATGTTATAGTTAAAACTTTATTTTAAAAAAGTTAGAACATAAGTTCTATATTTTTTTTTTTTTTTTTTTTTTGTGTGTTTGTTTTTTTTTTTTTTAAAGTAAAAAACAAAAAAAATTT